CCTCTAGAATCGTTACAGCATTTACCCAAATGTAACCCAAGGTTTATCATTTGTTTAGCAGTACTTCCTGAGTATCTTAGCATACCAAGGAAAAGTCTAATGAGTTAAAGAGATTTCATTTACAATTTAAATCTTGTCAACATTTGCTAAAATCTTAGAAGTTTTAATGCACATGCCTAAATATAATTAGGGATGTTAAACACCTGATATAGGCAAAATGTGGAATATGTTTTTTTCTGGACAGGCAAAGAGGAAACTGTAAGGGCCTATTCAGCCAAAGTCTGTGAGGCTGGGAGTCGCTTGCTCTCTCTGTAAGAGGTGTCCCCAAACAGTTGGTTTGATTCTCGATGCTTGGCGTGAAATAAAGCTTGGCTTGACCTTTGCTTTGTATCAGTCTTGCTCCTTTGACCAGGGACCTAACAGAAACAACTGTTTATGTTTTCTTCTTAACAGCAGATCAATTAACCCAAGAAAACTTTGTCCTTTTTTAAACAGAGAAAACCAGCTTTCTATACCAGTGTCTTTTTGTTTTTTGTTTTTTTTTTTTTTTCATTTCAATCTTAGTCCATCATGACCACACTCAAAATTCTTTTTCTCAAGATTTCCCTTCACAAACCTTCTACAAATTTCCTTTGCATTTAGGTTTTGTCCCAAGCCATTTCCTTCCAAACAACCATCTCATTTAGGACAAAATTACCTTCTTCTCCTTCAATAAAATGCATTCCCATTCCTTATATCTTTCTTACATATCTCCTACGTTTCCACGTAGAGTTGTTTCCCTTATTTCCATCAGTCATACTTACAGTTAGCAGAATTTTGTACTCTTAGAAACACCTTAACATCTAGTGATGGCTAAGTATTAGCCATTTGTGAACTGTTACAACAGAATTCTTTAGATGGCAAATTTATGAATCAGTTAAGCACAAAACATGCTTACCAACAGATTTAAATATTTTTAGTTTCTTTGCAGCAGGAAGTCAAAGGCACAAACCTATGTCCAGTAATCAATGCTTTAGCATTTTATTCCATTTGAAAAAGACCTAGATGTCCACAATTTAATTCCATTTGTAATCCATTCAAAACTTTAAAAGTTTTAGGTTACCAAAGACTTTGAAAGTTATATTAACAATTAACCATGAAAACTTTGAGACAATTAACCATCAGTGTAGTCATCCCTTTGCTAACAAATTTCAACAGAGATAATGAGCTTATTTGACCTTCAGTAAACCTTGACAGAATAAAAGTTTCACGTTTACCACTGATAACTTAAAAGACACATCTGTCTGAACTAAACCAACAAACTTAGTTTAAATGCTGAAATATGTTCCACCAGGATCTTCCCCATGGCTAATTTTCACCTGAGACACGTGGGGAAATCTGGAGCGGGTGGTGTTAGGTCCTGGGGTGCTCTTCTTGCTCCTTGACAGTGGTACCTGAGGCACTGAGGATGGTCTAGAAGCCAGTAATGCAGGCCGTAACCCAAGGTGGTGTGGAAACAGGAAAAGGGGGGATGGGGAGGCAGGAGAGACAAAGTGCTGCCAGAGGACAGAGAAGGGGTTCCCGGTTCAGACGATCATCAGCTCCAGAGGAGCAGGCGCCATGTTTTCCCGCCAACAAAGGCAGGGATAGACAATCTATACTGGGCCAGAGAAGACAGGGAATTTCCCTGAAACAAAGGAGGTTTGGCAGCTGCTGGGGAATATTCCTTAAAGTCCCCATCCTGAAGGATACCAGGGGTCCTGACTTGAGTGGAAGGCAGACGCTTTAACCCACGGAGCCACCCAGGCGCCCCTCCCACTTTCTCTTCAAGGTAAGTATGAGAGCTCCTGTTATTTTACTGTCTGGATCAAGCTTCCTGTGGGCTATCAGAGCTGCTAAATCGGGTATCTCCCCACACAAGCCACTTACAAGAAACAGGAGCACTGACTTCCTGAAGCTCAGCTTTAGGCCCCAGGTCAGAGGGGGACTGTGGTCCCCACACTTTCTGATGGGTTCATCCTTGTCCAGAGCTCTTCCACATTGCTTCCACATCCTGATCCAGGGTCGCCCTGATAGGCTTTGCTTCCTTACAGACTTTGGGCTCTTTTACTTGGGTTACAAATGTCCTACTTTGGTCCTTCCTATTAGCACAGAATTGGACCCATGGGGGCAGAGAGTTTGGGCTATCTGAAGCCAAGAATCAATATATGGGAATTGGTCAGGGTGTCTGGGAGTTCCGACCATAATTTTGTAAATGATGTGGACAGTGAGTAGGTCCTAGGGCTCCTCAGAGGGCCAGTTGACCCCAAAGGTGGCCCATTCCAGTTCACATAATGTGCCTAATTTTCCAGATGTTTTGATCCCATAGTCTCCTGAGAATTCACTTCTTAAAATTTTGAGCATACAGTCTAAGACTGTAGGTTTTGAAGAGCCTCCACCGTGATGGGCAGGGAGGCTCCCTTGGCCACTGCGTGTGTTCCCTCCCTGTGTCACTGGAATGAAGACAAACGAAAGGTGGGTGTCCCTCCAAAGGAGAGACCAGTCAGATGCCCCCCGTCCATCATCCCAGAGGACACCTGGGTGACTCTTAGCCTTAGCGAGTCCGTATGAATCCTAGACTGGCATCCCGAAGGGGCTTGCCTTAGACCCTATGAGGTCACCACGGAAGAAAGTTAGGGCCACTCGCACTCCGTAGGTGTCTGGGGACCCTAAGGGTGCTCACCTGTGGAGCCACAGAATCAGTCTGCCCGACAAGCCAGGTAAAACTATACATTTACTCGCACATTCACACCAAAGTTATTACAGTTCCTCCCCTCCAGGAGGCCCTGACCTGTGGAATTCCTTCTGGAAATTCCTTCCTGTCCCCCCTTATGGCGGGGGGCGTGTCTGACCTGAAGGATCTCCCCCGCCAGGAGGCCCTACCTGTGAGACCTCTAAGAGGTCTCTGAGAGGTGATCAGTCTCCCCATCCACCATCAGGGGTGGGCCTGACTGGGTCCTGGGGCCCCAGGTCTTACTGGAATCTGATGTCGGGACCAGGTCCTCACCTGTCAAGTCTCCTTTGAGTCCGGGTGGGAACAGTGGGGCTACCCGGCCTGAGGCGACCCAGCAGAAGACTGCCGAAAATCAGGCAGGGCGTGCCTTTTCCCTTATAGTCCCTGTTCCACCATTGCTCCAAACCGGTGGCAACAATGAACCAGCGAGGTTGGGTTTCCCAGTTAGGGAACCAAATGTTGCAGAACTGGGACTGGATCCTGGTGGAAGAACCAAGCGGCACTCAGAGACTTTGGAGGATCAGAGGTTTATTTAACACCGGTGGGCTCAGATGAGGTTGTTCTCCAAAGGTCTGAACCCCGAGCGCAAGCAGGGAGGGGGATTTATACCCTTCTACCTCCACATACTTGGTACTTTTGGTGTGCGTGGGAAACAGAGTAGGAAAGAAGAACCCAGAAGGGCTTTGAGACAGGGACTGGAATTCCCTTGCTGGTTTGGTCGGCCATCTTAGAGTACAGTCTTCCCCTATCAACCAAATCTTGTTTCATTCTCTAAGGCAATGGGTCTCAACTGGGGTCGATTTTGGACACCAGGGCAATGTCTGCTGATGTTTTTAGTTGTTACAACTGGGTAGGGGGCAACTGGAATCTGGTGGGTAGAGGCCAGTCATGCTACTAAATAAATATCCTTTTGTGCCCTGAAGGGTATACCAGCTGGACTTTGTCACCCCAACATCCACCCCTGGGACACAAGGATTATTTTGAGCTAAAGACAATAGAGAGCCAGCAGAAGCAGAAAAAGTTCTTTACCTCCATGTAATTGCCTAAAAATAAAGTATAAATTTCCTCTTTTGCAAATGAAATTTACATTTATAAAGGAAATTTCCATTTGTAAGGACATGTCTGTACCCGGAAGAGAGCTACTCTGGGAGACAACTCTTATCATCTGAGAAACTTATCTGCATAACAAGACAACCCTATTACCATACATTTCCTTCCCTCACCTTCCTATAATTTGCCTCCCCTGCCAAGAAGCCCAAAACTCTTTTCCTTCTTTGTTTAGCCTAAGATGGTATATAAACCTCAATTATCTGACCACCTCCTTGAGTCTCATTCCTTTGTGAAACTCCCATGTGGAGGTATGTAATTAAATTGTTTTTTTTTTCTTGTTAATCTGTTTTTTATCAGTTTATTTGCAAGGTGCAGCCATTGAACCTAGGAGGGTATAGGGAAAAAGATCTTTCCTTCCCACAGGACAGGACAGTCTCCCACAATAATCACGTAGCCCCAGAGGTAAATGGCAATGTTGAAAAATCCTGCTCTATACAGACAAGGAGAAATCTGAAGCACGAAAAACCAGCTTTGAGTTTGGGAGCTTAGTAGCTTACGAGAAGCCAAACTAATTCTTGTCTCTGGCCGTGTGTCTTAGATAGATCACTGAGATCTTCCATGTTTCCGACTGTGCTTAATAAAGGGGCTCTGCAGGTCAAACAGATGGGTTTTATGCCTCTGCCCGTCTGCCAGTGACAGATTAGGAGAGCCCCACCATGCTGTGCGGCTGGGAGGCAAGTGTCTTGGTGAAACAAAAAATTCCCCAAAGCACAAGGCTGAGGGACACTGGTATTTTGAGTATTAGGAAATTAGGGGAGGTTAAACCCTGTGTGTTTGGGGGGAGAGTGTGGTGGTGGTCTGCAGGCTCGGATGAACCCCCGTAGGCTGGATGTAGATGCAACCCCTCCTCCTGACTGCAGAGTGGGAAAGGAGATCTGCCCAGCTCCGCCCCCATCCCAGCTTTACCCGGAGCCGGTGACAGCAGGCAAGGACAGAACCTTCTCTGTGAAATCAGCAGCTCACGCATGCTCTGTTGGATTCCCTGTAGCTCTGTCCTTCTCCTTCCAGAGTTTCCTCTCCACCTGCTTCGGCACACAAGGATTAAGACACTTCTGTACCAAGAGGCTGGTGAGGTCCATTTGTCGACAAGCCACAGTATTTGGTAAAGGGAATAAAGAACAAAAGGAACACGTGCAGGTTTGCACACACAGGAAAACCTTTAATTTGAAAATCATTCATTCAACACACATTTATTCACGGAGCATCCCTTCTGAATCAGGTATACAAAATTCTGTATTTTTCTTTCTAAATATTTGTCTTCCACAAACTGAATGGGATGTTTATAAGTCTCTCTGCTTAGATATATAGCAGTTAACATTCGGTTCCACCAGCGGAGTCCCCACTGCAGCCCCCAAAGGACAGATGGGATTCCACAAGTGAACATCCTTCCGGGTGCTGCGGACATAGCACATACCTGAATATTCCTCTCTGTGGGAAACAGAGTCATAACTTCTCTGCTACTGGAACATTCTTTGCCACCTTACTTCTAGTAACATTTGAAGTGAACTCTTCTCTTAGAGACTATATGCCAACAGGTCAACTCACAACTTCAATGCCACACACTGACTCTGGAGCTCTGGTTCCTGTGTCTGTGATGGTGGCCCACCGTGCAGAACACGGGCCTCCGGCATGCTCTGGCCAGAGAGTTGTCTGCGGGGAGAGGAGGCCTCAGCTCCAACAGTTACATCTTCAAAAAGGCCACCTGGAGAAGCAAAAAAACCCATGATGCTTTACTTACACAACACGATGAAATGGCTACGTGCACATCAAATCAGAATCCGGTAAATCCGGTCAATAAGGATGCAAGCTGATCTAAGAAAGAAAAATGACTCTTCACGGGGCCAGACATTGCCAATTTACAGCGGGAGCCAATTACTCCTTTTTTAATGAACCACGGAGTAACTAACATCATTCACATGCACTTTAAAGAAAACAATAAATAAAAGTTTAATTGACACTCGGATTGCACTGCTGTGAAGTGATCCAGTCTTCTTCAAAGAATCACTGGTCCCAGTGGCTGTTTTGGCCCTTCCTTGAGCAGAATTTTGAGTCCTGAAGATTCCCGGGGAAGTCCAGTTCCTCAAGGCTAGCCTCTCCTCAGTCATGCCAATGCTTTTCATCACATTCAATTATATTTATTGTGCTTGTCAGTAGCAACTGATCTTAAAACTTAGTGTGTAAAAAAAATCCAGGCAAGTCTACTTACAAATTGAATGAGGCCCAGATCAAATGCATCTATTTTCCCAACAGTTTTAACCCACAGAGAAACAAACAATAAAGCTAAGCATAAAAGTTTAGAATGTTTTCATTCAGCGTGATAATAAATTGGGAAGTGTGCCAGTATCAGGAAGAGAGCAGACTGCAGATTAGCGACAAAGATGGGGGAGTGTGGGAGGCCTGGCAAGCTCATGCTTGGCCTTGCTAGGTGGAGGGAAGAGTGAGCAACAGAAATAAACACATTCAGCTCTTGGACAGTTGGTTCTTAAGTCCCCAAAATGTAGTCAAAGGAGGCATGTATTTAATGATCCTTGTTAAGGGGAAAGGAAAAAGAAGAGTCATGCAGGGCAGAAAGCATCTGCTTTATGTTGAGTAATTCAGAAGGATGTTACTCTTCATCCAGTGCTGGTGAGAAAGGCACCTGCTGAGTTTCCATATCAACTTCCTGCTGAGTTTTCTCTATCAGGTTCTGCAATGAGGACACCAAAGTTGAAGGAGCAGGCCAGGAAGAGAGGTTATTAAGATTTCTAAACAAAATGTAAATGCAGACAATAGACACAAACTTCAAGGGCTTACTGTGAAGATTAAATGAGATCATGGGTATGAAAATACATGGGTTTCTCTCTTGTGCCTTTTCGGTGATATCAGGGGTCCATGCATCTACCAGATGAGAAGCGGCAGTTCAAGAGACAACAGTGGGGCCCCTGAGGGGATGGCCACAGAATTAGAGGGGAAGGTCGCTCAGTGTGACTTCTGGCTCACTATAGACCGTGTCTCTGCCTCTGTAGGAACGGCTCACGGGGACCTTCCAGAGAAGACAATGCCACTGTTCATATTCAGAAATAGGGAAACCATGGATGAAAATCAGGTATCTCCTTTTTTTTTTTTTTTTAATTTGGAAAATTGCTATGTCATGGAGTATTCCGATCAGGAACCACTCAGAATAATGGTAATACTGATAAATGTCATCATCCAAGTGGTTAATAACTTCAGCTCTGGAATCACAGACCAGTGGCTCTCAACTTGAGGTGATTTTGCCTGCCAGGGGACATGTGGCAGCGCCTGTGGACATTTCTGGTTATCATAAATTGGGAGATGCTCTTGGCATCCAGGAGGCAGAGGCCAGGGGTTTTGTTAGACATATGATGCTGCCCATGACAGCCTCCCCACAAGAAAGAATATCAGCCCTAAAATGTCCATAGTACTGATGCTGAAAAATATCAATGTTATAGACACAGGTTCTTAAAAATAGATTTCTCTCTTATTTAAAAGATTTTATTTGTTTATTTGACAGAGAGTGACATAGAGAGAGAGAACACAAGCAGGGGGAGGGAGGGGAGAAGCAGGCTTCCTGCAGATCAGGGAGCCCCCAAGCAGGGAGCCTGAGGCAGGGCCTGATCCAAGAATCCTGGGATCATGACCTGAGCCAAAAGCAGATGCTTAACAACTGAGCCACCCAGGCGCCTTAAAACTAGATCTTTATTTGCCAATCATGTGACCTTCAACAGACTTGTCAGCAGTCTCTCTCAGCCCTTCCTCATCTGCAAAATGGGAATTATAACAGGATCTACCCAACACTTGCAAAACACTTCATAGCATAGGAAGCCTCTTTAGAATGTATTCACCCTCGGCACAACCTGTGATTTACATAAAGCAAATGAAGAAAGAGAAGCTCAGAAAAATTAAGTGACTCACTCAGGAGACAGAGCTATTAAGTGGCAATCATGGACTGAGGAAGAAATTTTGATTCTCAATGCATGCTTTTCCCACTAGAAGTTTTCAGATGAATGAGGTAAACTGCAGAGGTTTGGGGACTTTTAATCTTCATTATTGCTTCAATTATCAAAGGTTTATTTTCTTTTGCATGCCTGTGAATATGAACTTGGGATGGAACAGCTGCATAAGAGACTGAGCTGATTAAATAATGCAAAATGGCGCTGCACCCCCTGGGCCTAAAAAGAAAAACTTTAAAATTTGACCTATTATGTCTTTTTTTCATCTCTGGTTTTCATAGTTCTGCCTGCTAAGTATGTAATGTATTTTGCAGGACTTAATAACAAGAAACTGCAATCATCCTTAGGAACAGGTACTGTATAATGCACTTTAGCTTCTTTTTATTTAAAACACTGTGAGTTAATGTATGTCAAACACTGATTTTGTGTTCTCTAACTTCTATCCATGACAGCAAAAATTGCTTTCCATAACTGCCATTTATTTTGAGGATAATTTTGTTTCATTACACTGAGAAAACTCCCTGTATTTCATCTTTTTAGTTTTATTCTCAAAAGTAAAGCTACAGCTTCAGGCTCCACTGTTACATTTCTGGAACATATAGTTACAAAAGTATGTATTATTTTCAAAAAACGGGGAAAGTGGGTGCCTGGGTGGCTCAGGGGGTTAAGCCTCTGTCTTTGGCTCAGGGCACGATCTCAGGGTCCTGGGATCAAGGCCCACATCGGGCTCAGTGGGGAGCCTGCTTCCCACTCCCCGCTGCCTGCATCTCTGCCTACTTGCGATCTCTCTCTCTCTCTGTCAAATAAATAAATAAAGTCTTAAAAAAACAAAACAAAACAGGAAAAGAGGGATTCTTTCCTATTGGCTATAAGGTTGGAGTCTCTGGAGTCTCCATATTCTGTGCACCTGAATTCGGAAAGCTGGGAATAGGAAGAGGGAGAGGAAGTTAAGAGGTCTAAAAATAAATGTTTCTGCTTTGAGTCATCACCTAAAAACAATCTTCTTCAACCACAACAAACAGGGCTAGGCTGATATGATATCTGACCAGATGTTAAGTTTAAAATGCTTCCATAAATTTATGTAATATGTTAAACACTTTTTAGTGTTCTTTCATCTTAGTTAACAAATTCATATTATTAAATTCAATTCTTCAACATAGATTTGAAATTTCAATCAGTAAAAAAATATGCTGTTAAGGTAGGCTGCACAAGATAACATTAGCATTAAAAGCAAAGGCTATCTAAGTGCTTTGAGGTGTGCTAAACAAGACAGATAAAACTGGAAAATACTGGAAAATGTGAACTTCGTAATAATTGTAAGCTTTAGAAAAGACTCTTTAGAATAAGCACAGCCATGCCCAAATGTTCCTTTTAAAGGGTGCTGTAGACTTTAAAAAATAAAAGTATAAAAGCATGCCTTCAATATGTATTTTTGTGTAGGTCTGGCTCATGTTCAAAGTTATGTTCTGAAACAGAATGCTTTAATGGCATGGAAAAGAGAGTTTATACTTTATATTATAAAACAAGTTTCTAAAATCAAACCTCATTTACAGAATAAAAAATAAAATGTAAATATAAAAAATCAGAAAATGACTCTTTCAAGCATTTGTCAAATATATGTAACATCTTACATAACATGAAGCAATTTTTACTAACTCACTGATTTTCAGCATGGGTCCAACCCATGCTGATAATTCCTGGACTCTACTTTTTAAGTTGGATAAACAGGATAAGGTATTCCCTTCTGGGGCTGCAGGCTGGCTTTATTCATTCAAGTCATTGAATCGTAGCGTGTCGTCTAGGTGCCAGAGATTGTCCCAGTCACAGACCACACTGAGAAGGCATCCTCTCTCACAGTGCTAACATGGCAGTGGGGGAGACAGCCCAGGAACGAGATGATTCTAATAAGGCGGGATAAGTTTAAGATGGATGCCTAATGCCTGCTGGGAGAAAAAAACTATTCTTGGGTTATGAAAGGAAGGATGATTTCTGAGGCAGGACCCTGAGAGAGGTCATTATTACTCTGATTATGAATACTGTGTTGACGGGGAGGCAAAAAGCTGGCCTGGCCCGGCGTGGCAAACAATCTTTCCTTCTCACGGCGGTGGCTTGCTAAAGGAATAACTAGCAAACAGGAGGGATGAGCAAAATACCAGAGATACAATACAATGAGGAAGAAAAGCCTGTCCCTCTAAAATGACAGCAATTATGTGTCCACTTAACTGTAGACTGAAACTCTAGACTAAGGGAAATCGGCACAGTCTTCCAACTCCACAGTCTGCATAAAATCAGTAAGGGCTTTTAGAAAGCAGGAAAAAAGAAGTAAGACGGATGTCTATGAATTATTTGAAACCTTGACCTTGTATTTTCTCTAAGCCATGGATGCACTATGATAACTTACATGTAAATAAAAAGCCTGCCAATTTTCATCAACGTGGGAAGCAGGTAAGCATGGCTGTTTTGCAGTGGACATCTAGGTGGAAAGCCCACAGTATGTCAAGTATCAGAAGAGAGGTTATGTGCGGGCGAGAGAGGAAGACTGGTGCCCCTTCCTCTCTAGACAGGGATGCAAACGTGGACTGATTTGACAGTTACTGGATCTTGGTCCTACTCCCCCAAGCAAGTAGACTCCAGGCTTGACATTCTCATCAGTTCTTGCAGAATAAGGGGACAGTGGCAAATTCTGCTGAAACTGGACGGTGCTCTTGTAACACTGTTGTGAACCACGAGTTCTGATGCCAGCACTGAAGCT